GTGGGAAGGGGAGAAGTAGACTGAGATCACTGTGATCCAACGATGAAGATAGGTACGAATAACTGTGCAAGGGACATTGGTTTGAAAGGGTGGTGTGACATAAGGTGTTTTCTGATTAATAAGTATGGACGAGACATAAAGGGAGTGTGGGGAAGAGACAAAATGATAATTGGGAATTGGAATTGGTGGATGTGTAAGAAAGGTCTCTTGGAGGCATACAATGGATGGGTTATAAGAGGAAAGGATATGGCGAAGGTCGGGTCTGTGAGAGCGAAAACCGCGAATATTCCAATGAAGGATAGTTATACTTTAGTGATATAGATTGTAGTACGCGTTGGAGAATTTGAGGGGGAAGCAGCTAGAGGGTGGGATAAGGACTGAGAGGTTTGAGATGGGAGGGGTGTGGGAGTTGGTGTTCTATTAGGAGGGGTATTAGGAGATGGAGGGTCTGAGGAAGGGGATACTTGTGACGTAAGGGATTCACGTGTGTATCCAGGAGGGAGTGGAAGGGATAGAAGGGATGGTGGAAGGGTTAATGTGGGTGGGATTGGAGTTGGGGGGGATGGGCTGTGTTGGGAGGGGGTAGGAGGATGGGGTGTAGGGAGGATATCATTAGGAGGAGGATGGATATCGGCAATCATTTGGAGTGTGGAAGGAGCAGGAGTTGTAGGATTAGAAGGTTGAGTGTCAGTTTTCATTAAGTAATCTTGAATATTTTCAATAGTCAAAACGCGGCCTTAAGTCTCCGAGGCGGGAGACGAGTGGTAACGAGGCTAGGTAGCAAGCGGCGTGGGTACGCTCCACTGCAAGCGGCGTGGGTACGCTTCGCTGGGCGGCTTGGCGTGGTGTAAGCATCCACATGGTCGCATACAGTATTTTGTATAGACATGGCGGGATTCTCCACCTACGTAAACGTTAAAGGGAAGGTCATTTCTACAGAAGGTAATTTTGGCTATGTTAGTGGGTTTCTTTCGATGACCTCTGGGGGGAATGGAGTAGCATTGTACTGATGTTGCATCTTAGTCAGTGAGACAGGAGAGTAGGTCTTCTCCACAATCTGACCAATCTTTGTCATAGATTGGGCAATTTGCTGGGGAGATTGAAACGGTTCCGGTGCAAGTATTGAGGGTTGGATGGGGTTCTGCAAGGATGGGGTTACCATATTGGTCAGTTAGTTTTGTTAATGCTGTAGCTTGGGATTCAGAGGTAACTGTGACGAGACGGGAGTGATCGGGTCGGCTACGGAAAGAGACTTTACCTACTTGTTTTTGGAGACATTGTTGGAAGAGAAGGGTGTTGTCAGAGTAGGGAGCTGTGGGAGGGATCACGAAAAATCGGTCCCATTTGGCTGAGCTAAATAGAGTATTGAAGAATGTAGAGACATGGGTAGTAGAAGGGTGGGGGCGTGACGAAAAGGGAGTAGTGTTGAGGGAGGTAGTGTTATGGAGAGGTGGGCAATAAGGTTGTAAGGTATTAATAAGGGAGGATGGGGTAGTTGATGTTGAAGGTTGTGGAGGTAGAGGTGTTGAAGTTGAGCATGTTGGGAGAGTGGAAATGTCTCTTGGGGTTTGATTGTTGACTACTGTACTAGTAAGCATTGATGAGGGGGTAGTTGTTGCAGTGTTCGGAGCCGTGGTCAAAGGAGAGCCTGGGGTCAGGGAATCGGGAGGGTTTGCATTGTTGAGGCTATTTGATAAAGGGGCAAGCCTCATTGCCCCTAATAGAGGAGTTACGTCTTCATGATTGGCCATGGTAAGCCTGGATTATGTTGGGGATAAAAACAGTCCACCCCTCAGGGTCCCCTTGAGGGGTAAGGGCTAGGTAACTAAATCAGGGGAATACCATGCCCATGGCTCCCTCAAGCCGTTCAGGACTGGCACAAAGTCTGCCTTTCATCCTTTCAGCACGGCTCTCACACCTTAGGAGGTGGATAGTAGAAGGGATTGGTGAAGGGACAGAAACGAAAAAGTAGGAAGGGAAAAAAAACATGCAAATTAATTGAGTCGAGGGCTGAGTTCCAAGGTTGGGGAGTTCCCCATAATTGGGTCCCAGTCTCTGCCTCCTAAGCCCCCCCCCCCCCCGACAACAATGAGCAAGGGATTGGGGGGGGGGGAAGTGGTAGGATGAGCAATATTACTGGAGTAAGGAGAGGGGGGGGGCATTTCGGTAAATAATTCCAAGAAGGCGCATTTGAAAAAAATAGTCCATAAAAAGCCAACTATAATTAATACTGCACATTATGCAACCAGTTATTAAAAAAAATAAATAAATAAATAAATAAATAAATAACTAAATAAAATTAAATAGCTTCTTTCATTTCTAAAAATAGATATTACACTTACTGGCTATTTATATTCTACCAATCATGTTCTTTGTAACAACCTAGAGTTTTCGCCTCAATCATAAAAATACTATTTACGGTATGTTTACATTGAGGTGGTTGCCAGATGTACAAAAACGGGACCCAGCATGTGTATTGAAATATAATTCCGCAACTGTACATATGTGTATATATATATGTATCTATGTGTGTGTGTGTGTGTGTACATGCACACATATATATATGTGTATGTATACTTATATATATATATACATATATATGTGTGTGTATGTATATATACATATATATATGTGTGTACATATATATATGTATATATGTATACACACACATACATATGTGTGTATATACATAATATATGTATATATATATAACATACATCTATATATAATGTGTGTGTGTGTATGTATGTATAAATATATATACATATACATATATATATGCATGTACGCATATATATATACATATATACATACGCATACACACATACATATATGTGTGTATATACATGTATCTGTGTATACACATATGTATATATATATATATATATACATATATATATTTGTATAGACACATACATACATACATATATATGTGTATATATTATATTATACAATATAATATATATGTATATATTTTACACATGCACACATATATAACACACACACAATATGTATGTAATATACATATATATAATATACGTATAATATACACACATGTGTGCGCGCACACACACATATTACACAAATGAGAAATACTGAAAAGTGAGACAACAGTTTTGAAATCCTGGATTTCAGCTTTAGGTCTGAAGGTGAACGGGAGTTGAAAGAGTATGAGAGAGAGAGCATAAGTATTAAAATAAGACTTCTATAATTAACTGTGATAATATTGTATTTACATGATTAAATTACATGTATTTGTATGAAAAGATTTACAAAATTTCTATATCCAGTTAATGTAGGTTACTCATTCTGTCTTATTTTTGGTGGAATGATTTAATCAAATTACATAAATTATTATACTTTAATAAAATTTATCAAAATAAAATTCATTCTATGATTAATACTAAAGACAGATAAAGAAAAGCCAAAGCATTTAAAAGAAGAAAATACAATACAGATCTAACTCAATACAATACAAAATACAAAGCAGATTTAACAGTTCCTGTATACACAATCTTCTAGTCAAAAATCACAGTCCCTTGGTCAACTACAAGCATTAAAGAAACTAGTAAAGAAGCATACTACAAATATATGATTCCTTTAAAAAATGTTCTAGATAGTGTTCTAGATATTTTGAATTACTTTCTGTAAAAGGTAAAGCTGGTACTGTGTGTAGTGGTGGGTTTAGTACTGTGTATTTGCATTTTTACTCACCTAATCAACTGTGTCATTTAAGAAATTATGTGTATCATAATATACCTTCATTAAATGTATGCAGTGATCTCTAAACAAGACAGTGGCGAAAATTAAAATAAAATAACTTCCTCTTACTACAATTAGTGGCTATATCTGCAATATGGTCTAATGACAATACACTGTATGTTGTCCTAAAACTGTTCATGAGCTGAAAATGTTTGCAAAAGAAACTTTGTTGCATTTTATCATAACCAAGACTTTGAGCTGTGCTTTGTTACAAAAGTGAGCTATCCCTATGTAAAAAAAAATATATAATTCAATCTTTGCTGGCTCTTACACTAAGAAATTCAAGAGGAATGATAAAACAACATTCACACTACAAACTGTCATGAAAATTCACAGAAGCCACAGCCACAGGAACCTCATACACTGCCCACCATATACTCTGCAAATTAACCCAATGCTACAGGGGACATCATGTATGTAAATAGCACGCCTAATGTGAGTTTACTTTACCAACTGAATTCACAGATAAATAGCTCCAAAAGAGCTTACTCACCAAGGAGTCAATTACTAGTACTACCTGGCAGCATTGGGTTAACACATATTGTACTCTTTCAATTGATAATTACAGGTACAGTTGAATGCCCTCAAATGGCCTTATCTTCACTTATACAAATAAATCATAAAAAAATTAATGAGAAATATAATCCCAAAAGTAATACACCGAGATTAGAAAAAAAAAACCCAGCTAAATGGATACTTATTTGTTTGAGGATTCATTAAAATTTACATCCTTAACAAAATATGGCAGTTATAAAATAATTTACATATAAATATGTTTTTTGGGGGAAGGGGTTTCTAATCCACATAGAGTTCTCACTAGAAATATTAATCCGCAGTTATTTATAAAAATATTAGAACATCAACTCTAATACAGCCCCAAAGAGAATTATCATGGTCTCAATCAGGCTATGGAACTATAAAATGAAAAAAGAGAACCTACGCTTCATCACACAGACTGAGTAAATGCAATGAAAAATATGTCTCTTACTTTTGTTTATTTATTCATTCCATCGTAAGGAGAATCTATTAATTTTCCTGCAATCGCTCCATACGTAATTTTAAGTGAGCGAAGGACAGATCAGCCAATTGAAAAATAAACGAATCCATAAACTGTAAGTGCGATGGCATAAAAAAACACAAAAGGCAAAACACTGTCAACAAAATTAATAAAATTAACAAAGAATAATCATTAGTGCAATAATAATAACAAAAAGGAAATTCGGACAGAAGAAATAACATTAATCCGACTCTGATTCTGATTCGGCTATGATTCTTGCCCTCGATGCTTTGATTGGAGAGTTGAACTGCGGCGACTGCGACCTCTGGCTGGCGTACAGGCTGTGTGCATTGCGTCTGCCTCGACCTATGAGGGCAGAAAATGACAGCATGTCAATATCAACATATCCATGAGTGAAGAGAGTAGCAAGGAATAAGAGAGAAGGGACAATAAGTTTTGCACTTTTTGTTCTTTTCTTTTCTGCTGCTGCTACGAAAATAAACAACAGGTTGGTGGTGGCTGATGATCAGGGGCGTCACTTCATGTTATGAGTTGGGGGGTGACGGGTAAATTTGCCCTGAAAAAATCATTTTTGCCCTGCAAATCACGAAAAAGAAAATGCTCACTAGCTCTTTATAAGTAGCCTGGAATGGACCATCAACCAGTATTTACAAATGATAAATGAACAAAACAAAAAACGTAAAAACTTAACTAGAAACTTCTTACAATACCAAAAAACAAGAAATCTATAAAGAATAGAACAGGGTTCAAAAATTAATTTCAATAGTTTAGACATTAGACACTTTGCGCCAGAAAATGTTATAAATCAAGTATCATCAACAATTAGTTTCATACAATTATTTATACATCTTGAATACTTATCGGCTATTGAGGCAGATTCCATAAGAGAAAATTTGCCCTGCAGAACTAGATTTCGCCCTGCAAAAAGAGGCTTTTCTAAGAGTTGGGGGGGTGAACCCCCCCCCATACCCCCCCCCCCCCCCCTTAAGTGACGTCCCTGCTGATGATGGATGGAAAGTTTGGTGTTGATCATTTGGTGTCTAACAGGTTGGTAACAATTATTACTATTGTGTAGCACCAGTACTTTGTCTTATGCCGATTCTCTAAAACTGTTTCTTGTTTTGTAATTTATTTTCCCCTTTTATTTTTTTGTTGTTGTTTTATTGCAGCTCAGCTCAAACTCTCTTCATAAGGGACTTATGCCTGAATAAAGCAGAACAGCTTTTGATATAAGCAAAAGCAGGAAGTGTATAATATGTAAAAACAAACAATATAATAAACAAAACTTAGGAATCTAAGGTTTCAAAAAAAAAATAAATAAAAAAAAAAATAAATAAATAAATAAAATAAATAAATAAATAAAATAAATAAATACACAAATAAATAAATTTCTGTTTCAATTATTTTGTGTAGACTCCTCTGTCTATAGTTATAATCACAGGGCATTAACACTTTATATCCAGAGAACAGCCACTAAAACTAGGAAAAACAGAGCTAGATTTTTGTTTCTCAATCCATTGTTATGTCATCCAAGTTTTTGGTATCTTTTTTAATACCTGCTTCTAAACAATGTCTTTCTAAATAAATTGCTATAAATCACCATTTCTAATTGAAAATTTTCCAGTGAATTACGTAAATATAAAAATTAATACAAAAATCCAGCTTTCCAAAGGTCTGGATATAAAGGCTTAACACTCTGTCCTTTATGGTGTTAGTTTGTGTTTTGCTTCTACGCAGATGCCTCAACAGGCACTTAGTCACAAACTTGTAGACTCATCTGACACTACCTGACTACACCAACTCTTGAACTTTCTGGATTTCCCCCCCCTGAATACTAATACTATTATTATTATTATTATTATTACTGTTATCATTATCATTAAACTAATATGAGAATTATATTGTTCTTAACCCCTATGATCCAGATGACCTGATCATCACGTCATGAAAATTTTTTGCTTAAGGAGTGGGTAACCTGAACATGCCATCATGGGAAAATCTGGCTGTGGGCTGGGGTGGCATGAACATGCCATCATGTATATTTCAACTGAAGGCTGGGGTGCAGGAAAGACTTGCCATAAGGGTACAAACCTCCTGGACTCATTTGGCACTTAGAAAGGGGCTTTTCGTTATTTCTATCGATAAATGAGTGTGGAATGTTTTGTCTGTGAGCCATGACTGGAAGAGTGCTAGCTCCAGGGAGATAATATTTCCATGCTCAGCATCCAATTCCGAGCCACTGTGACCAGCAGTGCAGGTTATATTACAGAAAAGTGAATGATACAAAGGGAGAAAGAGAGAGAGAGTGATACAAATAACCAAATATTACTCATTATTCTTATTCTTGCACTGAGTTATGAACTACCTATAGAGATGATATGAGTGTGCAAGGAAAATATTCTATTACCATCTGGATAAAACAAATCTAATGACAAATATGGGCAATGAAAAATTACGAAAAAGCTAAAAACTTGCACAAAATAAGAAAATAACATTGGAAATGGGAGGCAGAGAGTCTTATCATTGCACAAGAGTGTTTATGTGTGCCTGGCCTACAAGCTGTGCACCCATTGGAATGGCTAGTCAAGTAAGCTTTATGCCCATATTTTGGGCCATGTGATTGTTGTTAACAATACCAAAAGTAATCAAAAATAAAACACATTCTTTCTGAAATAAAGAAACAGGGGAAACAGATGAGATCAAAGAGGCCTTATAACTGACTTCTAGGTGACTGAGAACTTCTGGAGCCATCTATCTGTAAACAAAATTAATCACCCAAAGTCACAGTGGAATGGACTTGGAAACATATGTCATCATGAAGAGATAAAATGAAGGGAGGAAGGATTCCATTATTCTCTCATACACTACTAACCTGGAATCAGCTATGTATGTTGCAAGGTTCCAGTTCCTCATACTAATACTATTATTATTATTATTATTATTATTATTATTATTATTATTATTATTATTATTATTATTATTATTATTATTATTATTATTATTATTATTATTATTATTATTATTATTATTATTATTATTATTATTATTATTATTATTATTATTATTATTATTATTATTATTATTATTATTATTATTATTATTATTATTATTATTATTATTATTATTATTATTATTATTATTATTATTATTATTATTATTATTATTATTATTATTATTATTATTATTATTATTATTATTATTATTATTATTATTATTATTATTATTATTATTATTATTATTATTATTATTATTATTATTATTATTATTATTATTATTATTATTATTATTATTATTATTATTATTATTATTATTATTATTATTATTATTATTATTATTATTATTATTATTATTATTATTATTATTATTATTATTATTATTATTATTATTATTATTATTATTATTATTATTATTATTATTATTATTATTATTATTATTATTATTATTATTATTATTATTATTATTATTATTATTATTATTATTATTATTATTATTATTATTATTATTATTATTATTATTATTATTATTATTATTATTATTATTATTATTATTATTATTATTATTATTATTATTATTATTATTATTATTATTATTATTATTATTATTATTATTATTATTATTATTATTATTATTATTATTATTATTATTATTATTATTATTATTATTATTATTATTATTATTATTATTATTATTATTATTATTATTATTATTATTATTATTATTATTATTATTATTATTATTATTATTATTATTATTATTATTATTATTATTATTATTATTATTATTATTATTATTATTATTATTATTATTATTATTATTATTATTATTATTATTATTATTATTATTATTATTATTATTATTATTATTATTATTATTATTATTATTATTATTATTATTATTATTATTATTATTATTATTATTATTATTATTATTATTATTATTATTATTATTATTATTATTATTATTATTATTATTATTATTATTATTATTATTATTATTATTATTATTATTATTATTATTATTATTATTATTATTATTATTATTATTATTATTATTATTATTATTATTATTATTATTATTATTATTATTATTATTATTATTATTATTATTATTATTATTATTATTATTATTATTATTATTATTATTATTATTATTATTATTATTATTATTATTATTATTATTATTATTATTATTATTATTATTATTATTATTATTATTATTATTATTATTATTATTATTATTATTATTATTATTATTATTATTATTATTATTATTATTATTATTATTATTATTATTATTATTATTATTATTATTATTATTATTATTATTATTATTATTATTATTATTATTATTATTATTATTATTATTATTATTATTATTATTATTATTATTATTATTATTATTATTATTATTATTATTATTATTATTATTATTATTATTATTATTATTATTATTATTATTATTATTATTATTATTATTATTATTATTATTATTATTATTATTATTATTATTATTATTATTATTATTATTATTATTATTATTATTATTATTATTATTATTATTATTATTATTATTATTATTATTATTATTATTATTATTATTATTATTATTATTATTATTATTATTATTATTATTATTATTATTATTATTATTATTATTATTATTATTATTATTATTATTATTATTATTATTATTATTATTATTATTATTATTATTATTATTATTATTATTATTATTATTATTATTATTATTATTATTATTATTATTATTATTATTATTATTATTATTATTATTATTATTATTATTATTATTATTATTATTATTATTATTATTATTATTATTATTATTATTATTATTATTATTATTATTATTATTATTATTATTATTATTATTATTATTATTATTATTATTATTATTATTATTATTATTATTATTATTATTATTATTATTATTATTATTATTATTATTATTATTATTATTATTATTATTATTATTATTATTATTATTATTATTATTATTATTATTATTATTATTATTATTATTATTATTATTATTATTATTATTATTATTATTATTATTATTATTATTATTATTATTATTATTATTATTATTATTATTATTATTATTATTATTATTATTATTATTATTATTATTATTATTATTATTATTATTATTATTATTATTATTATTATTATTATTATTATTATTATTATTATTATTATTATTATTATTATTATTATTATTATTATTATTATTATTATTATTATTATTATTATTATTATTATTATTATTATTATTATTATTATTATTATTATCCTCAACTTCTTTCTTTCTTTCAATCTTCTTGCGAAGTTTCTTGCACTTCTCAAGGGTCGGAGCACCTGAAATTAGTAACACTCTTTCTGTCAATTTGGGCTATGATACCTATATTTTATTTGATGATATCATTCTTCTATGATGTAGTTGTGTTAAGTTTTGCTTTGTTTTGCTCTTAATTCTTTTGTCTGCCTAAAGCACAATCATGGAAATGATACCTGATCACCATTCAATCAAACCACTAAATCAATCCATATATCTATTAGGTCATGTCCATATGTGGAAAAGGCAAGCAAAATATTGTTTTAGAGCATTTTTATCACACTGAATTTTTGTAAGCATTATGTCTGACCTTGAATACTATGAAAGATGTAAAAAGAATAGAAAAGTGCACAAACATAACACTGCAGAGTCAACTCTGACAAAAAAAGTCAGAAAGAAAGACAGAAACAAACAAACAAAAAAAATAATTATACAGTCCTGATACTATATTGCGCATGGGCCTTCAAGTCTGCTATTTAACCAGCTGATTGTGTTAGGCAAATATAACTGAAGTTCTATCTTATTATGCAACCATCTCCTTTGTATAATGTCATATTTTGAGGAGTATCATATGCTCAAATGAACAAAAAATATTTTATCAAATCAAAATAAAACAGAATTTTGTTTGTTTTGCCAAAGATGAATACAAATGACGACAAGTGTTATGACTGATATGTTCGCAAATGATACGACTGATATGTATGCATATTTGACTGATATGTATGCATATGATATGACTGATATGTACACATATGATACGACTGATATGTATGTACTGGAAATTGCTAAAATAAACTGTGGATAATTATTGTTCCTCTGAATACAAAAGCAGACATACACAAAAATTTAAAATTAAGCTTTTCTAAACCCTTTTGCAATCAAAAATGGATTATTTATCATCATTCCCAACAAGAAAAACAGCAAAACGATTAACTCTTTTTTTCTTTCTTTCATAAGAGGCATATGGAATCCTTGGTTCCGGTTAAAGGGTTCTCTACTCATTGCCAAAGATAACCAAACAAGGTAGATGGCACTTGCCTTTAAGTCCCTGTTCTTCCATCACACCCAGGAGTTTAGCCTTTTTGGCAGCAATACTCTTGCAGCCTTCCAGAAGTTTGTCATAGTTCTTGATGTGGATGCCACAGGTGCGGATGTACTTTTTGAGACGGGCTAGTTTGTCCTCACCCTGGGAGAATCAATTTAGTCAGTTTGATTGGTATTGAAGTGGTAAGAGAGTCCTAAAAAAATTCCCACTGCATTCTTTATCTTCCTTTTTAGTAGGAAAGCAGAGGGAAGTTGAACAGAATACCAAGGAGAGAAATATTATGAGACAAACATCAAAATCATAAAAACAAAAACACAAACTCACCTTTGATTGCTTTGGTGACTTTTTACTGGCTTCCTTCTTGGCTGGCTTCATCTGCTCTTTTGAGGACTCTTCATTATCACTATCCGAGTTGAGTGATGTATCTGAACTATCACTGTCTGCCTTGTCTGCTTTTGGAGCTTTCTTTGACACCTCTTTTCCTTTCTCTCCTGTTCCTTCTTTCTTCTTCTTGGCTAGAGGTTCATCACTGTCTGAATCACTGGTTTGCGCAGGTTTAGGTGGCTTTTTCTCTGCTGCTTTAGTCTTCTGCTTCGCGGGAGTTTTCCTGGCTAGTGGCTCTTCGTCATCAGAACTACTGCCGCCACCTGAGTTTTCTGAACTGTCATCGGCCGTCTTTTTGGCCTTAGGCTTTCTCCCTCTCTTGGGCGTCTCCTTACTCTCCTTCTCTGGCTCTGACTCTGAGTCTGAGTCCTTTTTCTTGCCTTTAGCTGTCTTGGGCTTTCTGCCTCTTTTGGGCATCTTCTTACTCTCCTTCTCTGCCTCTGACTCTGAGTCCGAGTTGCTGCTAAGCTGGTTCTTCTTCGCATCTGCATCACTTCCATCAGAATCCTCAGAATCTTCCTCCTTCTCCTGTTTTGAGGGAACACTCTTCTTCATCTTTGCACTTGCCTCTGCATCTGAGTCACTGCCTGACTGGTCATCCTTCATCTGTTTCCCTTTCTTATTACTCAGTGGCTCCTCATCTGATTCACTTGGGGTTTCTATCTTCTTCCTCTTGGGACTTGGGCCTTTCTTCTTACTCAGAGGTTCCTCTTCATCTGAACTACTTGGCTTATTTCTTTTCTTTCCTTCCCTGTGTTGCTCTTGCTTGCTGTCAGATCCACCAGACTTCCCTTCCTCTGTGTCCTCACTCTTTGCAGCCTTCTTCTTCTGCAGTGGTTCATTGTCGGAATCACTCTCACTCTTGGCTTTTTCAGCTTCTGGAGTTTGTTTCTTCTTCACTAATTGATCATCATCAGAGTCATTATCACTTGTAGCATTTTTGGCTTTGATTTTTGATTTTGGAGTCAGCTTTTTTTTCCGTAATGGCTCGTCATTAGAGTCACTTTCACTGGCTGCTTTTTTTGATTTTGGAGTCGGCTTCTTTTTCTGTAATGGCTCATCATCTGAGTCACTTTCACTGGCTGCTTTTTTCGATTTTGGAGTCGGCTTCTTTTTCTGTAATGGTTTATAATCTGAGTCACTTTCACTGGCTGCTTTTTTCGATTTTGGAGTCGGCTTCTTTTTCTGTAATGGCTCATCATCTGAGTCACTATCACTAGCTGCTTTTTTCGATTTTGGAGTTGGCTTCTTTTTCTGTAATGGCTCATCATCTGAGTCACTTTCACTGGCTGCTTTTTTCGATTTTGGAGTTGGCTTCTTTTTCTGTAATGGCTCATCATCTGAGTCACTTTCACTGGCTGCTTTTTTCGATTTTGGAGTACGGCTTCTTTTTCACTAAGGGCTTGTCATCAGAGTCATCATCACTCTCTGGATCTTTAGACTTCTGACTGACCTTTCTGGCTCTTTTCTTAGTTATAAGTGGCTCATCATCTGAGTCACTGGAACTCACAGCTTGTTTGGCCTTCTTCCCTGGCTTAACTGCTTTTCCTTTGCTCTTCTTAGGAGCTTCTTCATCATCATCAGAATCGGAATCACTGTTCTTAGATTTCTTCTTGGCCAACTTTGTGTTTCTGGCTGCTGCCTTGCTCTTTTGTTTGGCCTTAGTTTTTTTGCCTCCCTTCTTGGCCTCAGGCTCATACTCTGACTCACTTGATGATCCTTCTGAGCTAGACTCACGCAAGGAGGCTTTGCTGGATTTCCTTGGCCTCCCTCTGCTCTTCACAAGAGGTTCATCGTCATCAGAATCATCAGAATCATCAGAATCATCAGAATCATCAGAATCATCACCTTTCCTTGCCTTGTTCTTCTTTTTGGTATTCTTGCCTTTTGCTGATGCCTGTGTGGACTTTTTCTTTTTCGGCACCTCTTCTTCATCTTTGCACTTGCCTCTGCATCTGAGTCACTGCCTGACTGGTCATCCTTCATCTGTTTCCCTTTCTTATTACTCAGTGGCTCCTCATCTGATTCACTGGAACTCACAGCTTGTTTGGCCTTCTTCCCTGGCTTAACTGCTTTTCCTTTGCTCTTCTTAGGAGCTTCTTCATCATCATCAGAATCGGAATCACTGTTCTTAGATTTCTTCTTGGCCAACTTTGTGTTTCTGGCTGCTGCCTTGCTCTTTTGTTTGGCCTTAGTTTTTTTGCCTCCCTTCTTGGCCTCAGGCTCATACTCTGACTCACTTGATGATCCTTCTGAGCTAGACTCACGCAAGGAGGCTTTGCTGGATTTCCTTGGCCTCCCTCTGCTCTTCACAAGAGGTTCATCGTCATCAGAATCATCAGAATCATCACCTTTCCTTGCCTTGTTCTTCTTTTTGGTATTCTTGCCTTTTGCTGATGACTGTGTGGACTTTTTCTTTTTCGGCACCTCTTCTTCATCTTCGTTGGAGTCCTCAGATAACATCTTGGAACTCTTTGCTGGTTCTGCTTTGGGCTCAGAAAGATCCTGTCCTGAGTCCTCATTAGGTTCCTTCTTCTGTGCTTTAGTCTTGGGGGCTTTCATTGCCAGGGGCTCATCAGAGTCCAAATCCCCATTGGATTTGCTACCCTTCTTGGAGTCCGACTTAGTACTGGCTTTCCTCTGTGCCGCATTCTCCTCCCCTGACTCTTCCTCTGAGCTATCCAACCTGCTCAGGCCAGAGTCATCATCTTCTGACTCTTTGTTAAGGATGTTCTTGATGTCGTCCTCTGTCACCGAGGGTTTCTTTCTCTGCATCACATTTACCTCCTTCTTCACACCTTCCTCCTCCTTCTTAGACCTCTTCCTGGGTGTCTCCACCTCATTCCCTGGGGACAGAGCTCGCTTTCTGTCCACGATCCCATTTTCCGCTTCCATGGCTGAGTTGTTCTCTTTGTCCTCTGTGACTCCTGCTTCTTTTGACTGTGGCTTGTCTTCCTTCTCCTGGATGGGTTTGCGACTTAGCTTGTTCACTGGGATCTGGCAAGAAGGGAGCATTGAAAGATTGTGCTTCTGAATACATATTTAATTCACAAGTATTTTTTTAACTGAGTGGTAAGAGAAGAAAATAAGAAAATGTAATACCAGGCTATATATTTCATGGCAAATATCTAAAGGAAAGTTCCATAATGATAGAGACAGGAATGAAAGGAAGGAAAAAGTATACCACTAAAAGACACACTATATAATAAAAACAAAACTTGTGAGAATACAGAATAAAATTTTGATGAAAAGTTACATCCACAACTAAACACACCATAAATGTGACAAAAGCACATGTATTACTAATGCCATTTGTGCAAATATTAACATATTGCTTAGAGTAAATCAGAAAGAAAAACTTACTGGCTAAAGGTACATACTTGCAGCAGAGGAGAATTGCCTGTGATAAATGAACGGACAGGCTTTCCTATCTTGGGCGTACTTGGCTTTGACTTTGGTATTCTGGATAGCTGTTTGTCCTCAACTGTGGTCACAGCAGTAGCCTTGTTCTCCTCCGTATTCATCTGTGTAAATTTGTTTTCATATCAAGGGTCTAGAGAACTATAGCATGTTTATGTCAATGAGGATTAACCACAAAAACAGAAGAGAGAGACTGTTCAAAGGTTTCCAATAAATTAAAAATATTCAACTATAAGAACAATTTTAAGAAAGAATATTGAGTTGAAGGATGATAAGCTTTTATAAAATGGTAAAAGTAGTAGTAGTAGTAGTAGTAGTAGTAATAATAACAATAACAATAACAATAACAATAACAATAATAACAATAACAATAATAATAATAATAATAATAATAATGATGATGATGATAACAACAAGAATAAAAATAATAACAATAACAGTAATAACAATAGTAATAATAATAATAAAAATTATTACTACTGCTACTAATAATAACAGGAATTACTATTATCATCATAATAAGAGCAATGATAAGAAAAAAAAAGAATGGCAGAAATAAAGAAAGAGAGGGAGAAACAAAGAAAGAAAGAAAGAAAAATTAAGAAAAAAAAGAAAAGAAAACAGACTAATTTTGAATATGTGAATAAAATGAAAACTGAACTTTACAAACCACAAAAGACTTCACATACTCTTGCACAGTTTTTGGTAAAGCTGAACATTTTCCATTTTTAGAAGGTACCTGCAGTGGCCCCCATAATCATGAGCGTTTCATTCTATCTAAAACTAAACTGCGATTGGGGATGGGCAGCCTACAGCCTAATGTCCTACTCAATAGTAATGCAGTTGTTGCAGTGGCCTCTGCATGTTGCACTTTAGCCAAGGCTAATCCTCTACCAAGATGGAATCTGATGGAATAAAATTTCATCAGCCTCTTTGATTTTGGCAGCTGTAAATAGGACTTTCGAGGAAACAAGGCTAAAATGTAACTGTAAGACTACATATGAGGGGTTCTACCTCCTCAATCAATACAATCATGGCTAAAAAAGAAAGAAAGAAAAAATCAGTTTAGCACTCCCAACATAGCACAGGCTCAAAGCAAGTGGTATGATTGTAGTACATGACACTCTGAGAGGAATCTCGTCAAGCCCTCCCAGGCTGGAAACCTTACATGCACAGGCAAATTATTTTCAAGTCATAATGTGTTCAGTTAAATTATCAGTTGGTTCAAAAATGCGCTCATCATCATCATTTGTGATGGCTGATATATTATTTATGCATCATTTCTATGTATTAAAATGGGTTGTCACTGATTGTACAATCTAGTATGGCTCAATTTAGGCACTTTGACAACTTTGTGTAGCCAACCAATAGAAAAAGGAGAACTGTGTGGTAAAAACAGAAAAGTTCCCAGCCTGGATGCCCTCTGTCGGCTATGAAAACTTGAAAATACATTTCTTGGAAGGTTGACAAGCTCTCCCTTGACAGAATATATGTAGCAGAGGTTTGCTGTCCATTTTTGTGCACAAAGTGCACAGGCGTCTTCATCCATATGCTGGATTAATCTTAACCCGTTACTGCCTGGTCACACGTATAGCCTTCATAGCAAATTGCTTGATCTGCCTGGTACGGCTAAAAGCGCGTCAAGTGAGAAGTTCCGCTTTGTGTAAGCGGGATGGCTGCCAGAAATCACCGGAGAGATTTCTCATACCGTCACTGATAGATTAATGGATGGACACACTCAGCTAGGGCAAATTAAAGATGGTATTCTTGTACAGGACAAAAAGATGATGATGTTGGTACAAGAAATAACCTGCAGGCATGAAGGGCCTTGGTCCAGTTGGTGCTCCCGGATTTCAGCCCTTCCTTGCTGTGCTGCGTTTCCCTAGGGGGGTTGGGGGCAGAGACCTCAACAACCCTCCCCTCAGGCAATGCCCAAAGGCATGCCCTGTCACGACAACTTGAATTATTGAACAAATTTTGTGCCGTGGAGGTGGGGACTTAATTAAGCAAAACTCTTTGCCTGTTAATTTTGTTCCCTACATTTTGGCTGCATAATTAACATAATTAAAATACTTTGGCTGCTATGACGCCTCCTAAAATTAACGAATATCAAAGTACCACATACGAGGAATGTCAAAGACCAGGAAATATAACCGATTCACTTTTATTTTCAATTTCTCCTGCATTTTTTTTTTTTTATTTAGGATTTTAATTTCCCTCCGAAAAATGCAGGACTCCATTAACGAACCCCTTATCACCCCATGAAACCTAATCAGACTAACCAGCCGAACCCTAACCAACACCCCCACCCCCCTCAAAGAACCCAAACGCGGCCCAAAATCCGCAAAAAAAAAAAAAAAAGCCCAAAAGACTCACGAAAGGCCGAACGAACCTCCTCCGTAGGAACTCCCACTCACTTTTTCTTCCTCTTCTCTTCTCTCTTCTCCTCCTTGAATCTCTCCCCTTTCTCTCCCTCTCAAGGGCGACCTCCGAGAATGGACTTTATTCAACCTTCCCTTCGCGCGGAAATCGAAAGAAAAAAACAAAAAAGGGGAGAAGGAAATTATTCGGAAAGTTACCTCCTTCCCGCGACTGATTTTCATC